GATTGCGGGGCGGACACCACGCCTGGCTGCAGGTCTGATCTGCAGAGGAATTTCTGTGATAAGTTTAGGTCCAGCCCTGTTCTGGAAAGCTCGTAAGCACAGGCTTAAAAATAGGTGCGTACTTAAACCCTGGCAGAATGTTCATTAAAATGAAGCAGTAATTAGCACATCCGCAGGCACGTCTCTTGAACGGAGGGTGCTGGAATGGGCAGCGCCGAGGAGAGCTTGGTTTTAGCGGTGTGGGCACACTTCTCAGAAAAGCCTGCGGGTGTCGGGGGGAAGCGCCTGACGCCTTTTGGATCACTGAAAAATGCAGGCTCTGGTGCTTTTTTAAAAAAAAAAACCTAATACATTTCTGTAGCCATGGTTTACCAGGGAATACATGGTGTTTTTTATGGTGGATGTTATTTTTCTTTAAGGTTACGAATAGGTTATTTATATTTTTGTAAATTCTGTGTCATTACCGCTGTAATCCTGAAGTAGAGTTGTTCCTGTTGGTTTTTGGGTGATGTCTGTATTCAAATAAAGCAGTAGCTGAAACTCCTGCCCGTTTTGTTAAACGAGGGGGGGTGCGGGTGCCCCGCGTTCCTCCCAGACCTGGGGTTCCCCTGTGTGTTTGCAGTTGCTGTGTGTGTGCAGTTAAACAAATTTGGGGGCCGGAGGTGGTGCTGCTCGGTGAGTTTTGGGCCCTCTCCCCTCCCGCCTGCGGGCCGGTTGGCCGGGGCAGACCCAGCCTCGGGGCGGCTGGGGCTGTGGGGTGCGTGCCGAGCCGGGGTCCCACGGGGGGGCAGGTCTGGCAGGGGCCGGGGGCACCTTTCGAAGCGGGTGCTGTCACCAGTCGTCATAGAACTGTCTAGGTTGGAAAGCCCTTAAAGATCATCAAGTCCAACCGTTCCCCTACCCCTGCCATCCCACCACTAAACCCTGTCCCTAAGCACCTCGTCTGTCCTTTGAAATATCCCCAGGGATGGGGACTCGACCACCTCCCTGGGCAGCCCATTCCAGAGCCCTTTCTGTGAAGTAATTTTTCCTCGTGAGGCTGCTGCGGGAATGGGGCAGGAACGGCTTAAATGGGCGCTGCTGGAGAGGAGCAGCCCTGGCCCCCGGCCCCTTCCCCCCAGGCACCTGCCCCGGCCGGGGGCATCAGCCGCTCCTGGGGTCGCGCAGGTTTAATCTTCCTCGGAAGTACACCCACCCCGGCAGGGTTTGTCGCGTGGCCTGGGGACGGGGAGGTGGCAGAGACCCCACAGACGATGCCCAAGGAGCTCCTGTTCCCAAAGCTTCGCTGAGGAGCAGTTGTTCTTTAAGCTCCGTAATTATGGTGCTCGTTAAGTCTGCCCATGCCCTTGCACTTGGTCTGTTCTTTAAAATAATTATTTGGATGAGGGACATGATTTTCTTTTCTAATTAAAGCCATTACACTTGTCCAAGCTGTCACAGGCTTTCTAGGCACTGGTGTTGCTCCAGCTCCTCCTTGCTGTGAAGGGTACCGGCAGGCAATGCTCCTGCCTGCGCT